AAAAGAACAATTAGGGTTTGGATTTCGGGAGAAAGAGGGAGAAAGAGGGAGTAATAATGTAAGCGCCGGCAAAAGAACAATTAGGGTTTGGATTTCGGGAGAAAGAGGGAGAAAGAGGGAGTAATAATGTAAGCGCCGGCTGATTGTTCTTCGATTTGGGTTAGGGTTTGGATATGTCGGTGGCGGAGCTGAGAGAGCGCCATTTGGCGGCGACGGAGACCGTGAATTCTCTGAGAGAGCAGTTGAAGCGAAGGAGGCAGCTTCTTCTCGATACTGATGGTGAATTTGAATTCTTTCCCTCCTTGCTTTTTTTTATTTTCCCTTCCCTTTTTAGTGTTTAACCGTGTTTTTTCTGAGATCCGTTCGTTCGATGTTAAAATGGCAGTCGCTACGTATGCGAGGAGCCATGGGAAGACGGCGATTAACTTTAGTTCGACGGATCTGGTGTGCTGTAGGATTCTGCAGGGTCATACGGGGAAGGTTAGTTCTCTGATTCTGCAATTTATTTGTTACAAAGTTTGAATTTGTTTGACAATTTTAGAATGCCGGTGAGTGTTGTTTGCTTTCGGCTCAGTTGGAAATTTTGCTAGAGCTTGAATTGAGAAATGTGTGAGTGAAACAAAGGTAAAAGGGAATTAGTGAGGAAGATGAGGCAATGCAATTGACGTTAAATTTTGTACATGTAATGTGTGTTTGTAAAAAATGTCCAATTGGGTCATGTTGCTTTACCGAAATGTGATCTTATCTATAAATATTTCAATCACTAAGGCCTTAGGGATTTAATTTGGTTAGAATAGTGTAGTGTGCGGATATCCCATGGCTTGTAGATGTGTTAAGTAGGAAATTATTAAGGAAAAAAAAATGTAATATGAATACTTTGCCTGCAATATGTGTTCTTACAGGATCTCAAGAAGAGTGCTTAATGGAGTCTTCTAAAGAAGTATTGCCAAACAGTTTGAATATCTTTAACTTGATGGTAGGGGAGTAAAATCAAAGTTTTATTTATTATGGATGAAAATTAGCTATATGTGGAGCAAACCGGAAATGAAGTAAACAAGATGTAAGCGAGGAATGAGAAAAACAGTCGAAGGAAGTAACTTAAAATTTAGAGAAGAGAGGAGAGGAGTGATATAGTCATTGCTCATCCTAAACGTTTGGAGTATCGTTTTTAGAGTATGTGATCATATCCTCAGAGATTAATAGGTTTTGTCAGGATAACCTAGTTATGAGTAAGTGGCCAGAGTCCTGTTTTGATGTGTGCGCTCCTGTAAACCTCGTGATACCCTGATGCTATTTTCCTGAAACTTATTTATTCAACAGCTTATGTTTTTATTAATATGAGTGTACACCTTTATAGAAATCTTATGTTTTCCTAGTACATTTTCCCGATTATGAACTTGACAGTACTTTATGGTTATCAGTCTAGACTCTAAATTGAAATTAGGAAAGTAGTGATATTCTCATTCTATTGATGTCCTTATGAAATTAACGTTCCAATACACTAGATGAGTATTTACTTATTTATTATTATTATTATTATTGTTATTATACTTTGGCTTAATAATACAATATCCCTTTTATTTTGAGTTTGCCTATTCAATATACTTCCTGTGGAAGAAAATTGATAATTTTTCAGTAAAGCCAATGATTTCACTGGAAAACTAATTACGACCTCTATAACTGTTTTACTGATATGTATTTAGCTAGAGAGGTCTGTAATGGTTCACGCTGTTAACATAAAATAACCACTTGAACCTCAAGGGGTCCTATATGAAGCTCTCCTGTAACCTTGTGATAGCCTGTTTGAGAATTAACTTATTATTCAACCTTTGGTTTAAATCCGTATTTATACGAGGGCAAACCCTTGTAGGAATCCCATTTCTTTCTCTGGGTATAATACAGCGTGCTTTCCCTATTATGAACTGTATAATAGCTTATAGTTAATTGTCTAGACTAGATTGGGATTAGGACACAAGTAACATCTGCATGTTGTTAATGTTCTTATGAAATCAAGGTTCCAATACATTAAAGGAGCGTTCCCCCCCCCCTCTCTTGGTGATTATAAATAGAGTATCTTTCTTTGTTTTAAATATTTCCTATTCAATATACTTCTTTCTGAAGTGAAATGATTATTTTTTAAGTAGGGTCGATCTCTTCAATGAAAATTAATTAGGACCTCTGCAATTGTTTTACTAGTATACTAGATATATCTGCAATGTCTCATGCTGTTGACATAAAATAACCGTTTAGAACCTTAGAGATCTCAAATTAGCTTCATACCTGAATCTCATTTCCATGTTATATGCATAAGCTAGTCCTATATCCAGATTCTTTGACTTCTAAATTTACACAATTAATAGTAGGTAATAACGTCAAAATCAAACTTCTTCTAAGGCTTTGCCTCCTTGGCTTATCCCACTCCAAGCGAAATAAATATCATGTGGTATGTCACTCCTATTCTGGGTAGAGGGAACCCATTGTAGTTCCTCTGCATTGTTATGACATAGGGATCCTTAAATGTTGTAGAATTTTTAATTATAGCTCTCCCTTATTGCGAAGGAAGTTTAATAAGTTATTGAAACTTATTAACTTATTGATGACACGGTTTAATTTTATCAAGCGGACTATTGCCAATATGAGGGCACTTAAATTCTTAAGTCTTAATTTAAATCAAGTTTGCATATGAACTTTTTCTTGATTCATAAGTTTTGTTATCCTTGATAAAGAATTATGCAACATACATGATTCTGGTTTGTGTGTCTCGCCATGTTCTTTGAGTATTTTAGGTTCACTTTTTTAGTATGCCCTGCACCATGCTTGATGGGGATTTTAGCTTTATCATATGTAAATCGTGGTGTCAATTTGTATCAGTGTCCTGTGTTTCGTTAGTATTTGTATCTTCACAATTTAATGTCATATCATTGATGTTTCTTACTTTATGTAGATTGTATGTGTAGGATTGTACTCTACGAGCATGTATTATTTAAAGTAGTCAAGTTGCACAGGTGTTAGTGTACAAAACGGAAAAACACAAAATCTCCATATTCCATGCTTTGGTTAGGCCACACACCTACAGTTCTGAATTAGTTTTTGTGTGTCCTTAATTAATTGTTTGAGGACTGTGATATAGAGAGCGAGCACTGGTAAGAGGCCATCCCTAGGTCTGACTCGTGCCATACTCTGATATCCATCAGGTGTATTCACTGGACTGGACTCCTGAACGAAATCGCATAGTAAGTGCTTCTCAAGACGGGAGGTTAATCGTATGGAATGCTTTGACGAGCCAGAAGACACATGCGATAAAGCTTCCTTGTGCATGGGTCATGACATGCGCCTTTTCTCCTAATGGTCAATCTGTTGCTTGTGGTGGTCTTGATAGTGCATGTTCTATATTTAATCTTAATTCTCCAACTGACAGAGAAGGCAATTTACCAACATCCAGAATACTGACTGGCCACAAGGGCTATGTTTCGTCCTGTCAATATGTCCCTGATCAGGACAACCACCTTATCACTTGCTCAGGTGATCAGACATGTGGTTTATGGGATGTCTCTACTGGCCAGAGGATCTCTGTATTTGGTGGGGAATTTCCATCAGGACACACTGCTGATGTGCTCAGGTACTCTCTTCTCTCTGGTTTATTTTGCATGGTTAATGCTTATCTAGAATTTATAAGATAATGTTTGAAGCCCTCCTGTTTTCCTTATAATTTTATGTTTACTTCATATTACTATTTTCTTTGACTGAGATTATCCATTCAACTTGTAGTTTTGTGCATTACCTTATCCGTCTAAGCATCATTCTTTTGAAATCTTTATGTGATCATGGCTATTAGAAAACCACTGCATTTTTTTGTATGCTTCACTAAAACAAAAGGCCTGCATTGGTTGGTTTAAGTGCTGCTTTAGGGAGTTGAACTTGTTGGTATGTCCCTAACTTGTCTCGCTAGTATGTTTGTCAAGTTGAGGAATATGGCTTATCTTTCATGCCTTTTTGCTACTTGCATAATGTTATCGTCTCTTGTGTTTATGCACTCTACTCTCCAGTATGATTCTGGTACAACACATCCGCGACATTAAGGGATCATATGGACACATATATACAATACATAAACTATATTTAGCCATCAGTTTCCTTAGTTTATTCATTTTTCCCCAAATCATGGAACAACTCCAATTATGCATATCCTATTTTGCCCTTCGCCATGGGATTCACAATATTTCTTTGTTATTTCTCCAAAGAAGTGCACATGATGAAAATACTTGAGTGTAGTGAATGACTGAATACAATTACCATAGAGATGGGGTATGCATGTGTCATCTTATTCTTCCGCTTAGCCATATCTTTAAAATTCTTCCTTCACGTTGATTGATATTGTATACATGTTGGAAGCTCTTCCCAGACAGTGTACTTGTCCACTGTTGTGTTTATGCAAGTAGATATTCCACAAAATTGCCCTTGTTTTTCTTTTTCACCATTTTCTCTTTGAAAGATTGTTTGATTATTGTCTAATTTATTTATGCATATTTGACATTGACAATATGTTTTAAGACATTTATGCTGTCTCCTTTTAGTGTCTCGATCAACAGCTCAAACTCGAACACGTTTGTCTCTGGTTCGTGTGATGCAACTGCACGTTTATGGGATACAAGGATAGCTAGTAGAGCTGTTCGGACGTATCATGGTCATGAGGGGGATGTTAATGCTGTCAAGTTCTTTCCAGATGGGCAAAGATTTGGAACTGGCTCTGATGATGGTACGTGTAGGCTATTCGACATGAGGACAGGGCATCAACTTCAGGTTTATGGTCGGCGGCATGAAGATAATGATAATGATGCCCCCATCGTAACATCTATTGCCTTCTCTATATCAGGAAGACTTCTTTTTGCTGGATATTCGAATGGTGACTGTTATGTATGGGACACATTAGTTGCTGAGGTATGCACTATTTCCTCTTCCTTTTGGAGAAATACTAGATATCTGAAAGATAATATGGAAATATATTAAGAACTTGCAGGGCATATATTAGGTAATATGATTAAGATGCACACAAAGCGAATTATGTGCTTTTATCTTTAGAAACTTGTTTATTGATTATTTATGGTAATATAAAGTGTTGAAGGCCAAGCATTCACTATTCTGTTTGCATAAACAAGAGCTTAGCCATTAGGAAAGGTATGGTGGAAAGGAAGAGTACAGGGAAGGTCAATTCCTTCTCGAGATTCTTGGGCTCTTGTACTTCTTAATTGAATAAGCCACTCAAGTGTATAATGAAGATTTGCTATCTTCCAAGGCTAGTTTTGCTTAATCATGCAAGGTTAAGATCACTCAAGTGTATAATGAAGATTTGCTATCTTCCAAGGCTAGTTTTGCTTAATCATGCAAGGTTAAGATGACTTCTGTTCTTTATTTGGAATTGCGGCTTCACTGTGGTCACACAGCACTCCTCCCAATTTGCCTATATGCGAATTTTAAAGAGACAGCTCCATCTTGGGGCTGGCTTGCATACAAGACTATTCAATTTCCACAGTGATTCAATTTGTGAAATTTTGGAGTGAAGAAAGTTCAAATCATTCTTCAATTTCTGGTATTGACCTTCTATCCGAAACCAGATGGTCTTGATCTTTACAAAGGCTAAATAGTTCTGCTTAAGGAATCAACAATGTTCTCCTTATATTATTCTCTGCTGGGTTAGTGTTTATGTCCAAGACCTTAGATTGAACCTCACCATGTGGCCAGCTATGCTCATCTGCCTGTTTTCATGTGTTCTTTTAATATTCCAGCATCTGTGTTTTTACCTATGTAATTTGCAGTGATTGTCATTTCTTCTGTAATCTCAGGTAGTCTTGAACTTGGGATCCCTGCAAAACTCACACGAAGGTAGAATAAGTTGCCTGGGTCTTTCGCCGGATGGCAGTGCCTTGTGCACAGGAAGTTGGGATAAGAACCTCAAGGTTAGTTCTTCAATTTAGCTTCAATGGTTTATTCAAAACCATATGATGGAGAATCTTTCTAATTTTAGCTCTAATCTGCTACAACTATTTAGTATGCACTAGTTACTTTGTTTGCTATGTGATGTGTTATCATTTTAAGGAATTCTTTGAGTCCAAATTCCGAATTGAAAGTATAAAAATATTTTCCCAAATCCACCCCAAACCAATGTCAACACCTGAAATCTTTAACCTGACACTTGAAATCATTTAACTTAATGCTCCTCATGTTATTTTCTCCATTTGAGAGTTATTATAATCTGGATCTTTCTTGAGTGATGGGTAAGTACGCTGTTTTTCATAGGAGTTTAATGAAAACACCCAAAGTATACAAGTAAGTATTCTGGGAATATTATGTTGTAGCCATTATGTAGGGGTCTATCTTAAACCTTGAAAAAAGGTTGTATTTTCTTTTGCCCTTCTTTTCATCTCCCATTAATAATTCCCCTGCTTTACTCCTGCCCTAGTGTAAACCTTACATTCCATTGATAAACTTAACACCACCTCTTATGATTTATCCAGTGCGTAGATCCACAACTCATGATCATCAACATCTCCATTACATAGCGGTTCTCATTCTCCTTTTTTACCCTTTTAATTTCTCATTTCTCATTTCTATTTTCTTCGACCTCCACCACTACCCAAGTAATATGAGGTGTGTCTTGAAGCAAATTAAATGATTCAAGAATTTAAGGACTTAACATGGAATGCTGGAGACCTGAGGGTGCTTGTGCGAACTACCAGAAAGAAAAGGCGTATAGGGAGTGGGGTGGGGTGGTGGGGGTTCAGTCAGAGTGTCTCAGCTGTCAGTTCTTTCTTATGAATTTGATGAAGTCAGTGTTAATATCCTAGGGAGTCCTGTGCATCCTCACTCTTTCCCTCTTATAAAGAACGTTGCAAATATTAGGCTATCTAGTTTCTTCCATCTAGTGAGTTATCAGATACTTTTGCATAAAGTAGGAATCAGCGCCTCTTGCCTCCTTGTTGAATACCGAATAACTGGACTTTGTTAGTTGCAGTGCTACCAGAGTAACTACCCTTATCGATGTTGCTAAGAGGGTAACTAAAATTATCAGATTCCTAATGTCAGTTCCCCTCTTGTTCCCTTCCCTTCTCTGTGTGTATCTAAATTAAGGAGCATCAAAATTTTCTCGCATTTAATATATTCCTTATTCAACTTTCAAAAGACCTCGTCAAATCTTACTGTAAAATCTTACATCAGCCTGATAAAAAAAATCAAGCTATAAAACTCTTACAGTTGATACGTTTTCAGCCTTTCTTCCATGTTATATCAAACACCCTGTTTTCTCTTTTGTTTAATTTTTAGTTTCTTTTTGTTCGGCAGATTTGGGCCTTTGGCGGTCACAGAAAGGTGATCTAAAATGTACATTCCTGGCGTTCCGTTGTTTGGCGTGTGGTGTTCTCTGTACTCTCCCGAAGCATATTACAACTAGTGCTTGCGTAATGGAACCATATATATACAAATCATCCAGTTCAAAAAACAAGTCTAAGGAGAATCAAAGGAAGCTGCTCATAAAACTTGTATTTGCTGTGTCATTTTGTATCATTTTAAATGTGTAACCCTTTTCCTTGTGAAACCATTTTCCAAGTGTCTGTTTCCGTGTATCCATGTATCCATGTATGTACTACAACTGTTTGCAACCTTGGTGAAGTTATAACTTATGGACACTATTATTTGCTGATCATGAAATGATATTGGATTCCCAAGTCTTAAGTTAATATTTAATAGCGTGCTTCTCCATCTTTATGGAGCCTTATTATTTGTTTGTGGTTTGTATCCTAGCAAGGGAAAATATTATAATTCATGGAACTAAGCAGATCAAGGGGTGGAAACGAATCGAATTTTGATCTAATACCTTCAAATTAGAATTTGAAGTTGGTTTATTCCAGGAGTTCGAAGTCATGTTGTGCAGGTAGAAGGTGTTCAAATTCGATTTGGTATATTAACTAGATATTTGGTGAATATTTATGAATATTTATTAGCACGCTTAGTCAAGGCATTTGATTCTTTACTCTGAGGTTAGGTTTTCGAGTCCTATGTTGGTTATTATGATGGGTTATAACTAAAATTATTAAATTTATATATTTATAAATTATTAATTTATGTAATTATCAATAGTAATATTAACATAAAAATTAGTATGATCTACTAATGTAGAAGCAGGAAAATATCTCATTATAGATTTTAGATCTACATTATTTCATTTCCTATCAAACTTTTTTAGCAACTTAAGAATGTAATCTAAGCTAAAATTTGCATAAGAATTTATTTCTATTAGATATTATATTATGATATATGTGGACATTGTGAATATCTCAAGTGTAACTTTAAAAGATAAATATTCTATGATAAATTAAACATAGATGAATAAAATATAAAGCATAAACATTAATAATCAACCGAATCGAATATACATTTGGTTAAATTTTATTCGTTTATGAGTCAAATATTAAAAAATATTCATTTATAATTAAATTAACTATCAAATCGAATATTACCGTATAGTTGAACACATAATAATCGAACAATTTATTAAAAGCACATGGTTACAATGTGATATTTGAATCTATTTGAAGGGTGCATATAGTGCGCCCTCCCTATGCCCAACATCACTTGATCACATTTTGGGAACAAAGAAATCGCAGATAAACCCCTCTCTCCCTCTCTCTCCTAAATCTACGGTTGCTAGGTGCTTCTAAAATAGTTGAGGCATAACGCGTGCAACTAAATGTACAGATCAAGGGGTTATCTGCAATTTGCTCTTATAAATTTATACCGGCTTTCCGCGCCTCGGTCTTTGCTATTGGCGGCTGGAGACGGCCTTTTCTTCTTTTTTTTTTCAAGTGAAATGCAAAGTTTGGTGGCGGGAAGACTTCCCGCCATCAATTTCCCGCCCATTCGCCCATTAAAAACCCTCCACCTCCCTCTCCCCAATTTCTCATCAACTCTTCTCCCAGAAAAAGAAAATGTCATCACCCGCCAACAGCCCGAGCGCCCAAGAGCCCTCTCCCAAGCTCCCCAAGCTCTCCCACGTCACCAATGGCGTCGCCAAAGAAAACCCACCTCTGCTCAAGATCAAGAAACTCTCTGAAAACGCCATCCTGCCCTCTCGAGCCTCTCCTCTCTCCGCTGGCTATGACCTCTCCAGGTCTCTATTTTCAATCCAGAAACAAAACCCTCTTCATTACTAATTTTTTCTAATATTTCCCCCCTTTTTATGTTATAATTTCAGCGCTGTGGCGACGAAAGTTCCTGCTCGAGGAAAAGCCCTCGTCCCTACCGATCTCAGCATCTCTATCCCCGAGGGAACCTACGCTCGCGTTGGTAAGTTTATTTATTTATTTATTATTATTTTGTTATTTTTTTGGGTGCCTGTCAAGTGTTTGATGAAGCGGGTAAAAGAGGTTCCTTAATATTGTTTTGTTTGTGATATTAGCGTCGAGATCTGGTTTAGCGTGGAAGCACTCGATTGATGTCGGAGCGGGAGTGATCGATGCGGACTACCGCGGGCCGTTGGGTGTCATTCTGTTCAACTTCTCGGACGTGGACTTCGAGGTGAAGGCTGGTGATAGGATTGCCCAGTTGATCATTGAGAGGATCATGACGCCGGATGTTGTCGAGGTCGAGGACCTGGATTCGACCGCCAGGGGTGCTGGAGGGTTTGGATCAACTGGGGTTTGATTAGGAAAGCGAAATTTGTAGCGTCTCTCTTCTATGTAGGAGGGAGATCAACTATCAGAACTTTGCTTATGGCCCTGTGAGTAAATAGTTTGGGGATCGCCATGGATTAATGTTGGTACTCTTGTGAGTTTGATCAGTAAATTCACGGAAAGGGGGAAACAAACGTCTCGGTAATTGGTGGTACCTTCTTTTGTGCTCTTGGATTAAATTAGTTTTCCTCTATTGAGGAGTAGGGACCTAATAAAAGTTTCTCCAAAACTCGTCTGTTTCTTTAAGCGTGATGTTATTTCTTTGAATATTTTGAACGCGGAACCAAACTTGGGAGGCTCAAAGCGGCTGCGTAAATCCAGATGATAGCAGAACACGTCATCAGCGCCAACAGAGTTGCTGATAATGGCTGCAAGATTGGATCTGGTCGTAGTCCGCAAGGTTTAATATCTACATCTATACCGCTTGTGTAAAAGCATTGGGTGTTAAATCTAAAATATAATTCACTGAAATTGCCATACTGCACCCCAAATCGTTAGTTTTCTGAAACATCCCTCGCGCTCCTGTTACTTATAACGGTCCACCCTGCTTGCTTTGATCAATCTTATGACTTGCTTAACCTGAAACGGACTTTTCACTCCCTATTTCTCATCCAATGCCATCTGTAATCTTCTTTGGTTGAAGTTGGCATTCTCAGGCTACTCCCCCATCGGTTTTGAAGGTGACGCTGAAGCTCTCAAAGCTTAAAACCATCCCATCCTGTGTCAAATTGTTCGTTTGGAAATCACTTAGCAATGGCTTGCTGGCCAAGGACGCGTTATTGAAGATTGGAGTCCACGTCGACCACATTTGCCCTCTTGTGTGGAGTCGAGTGAAACTATTGATCATCTTCGTGTTACATGTCAATTTGCCTGCTCCTTTTGGTTGCAAATACTGATCATGATTTTCCGACTCCGTTAGCTCTTGTCCCATGGCTTTATCCATTGAATGATTGCTCCTTTCAACTCCCAAATACATAAAATCTACGCTGTTGCTTTTGCGACAATCATCTCTTGGCTCTGTTGGAAGGCTAGGAATGATGATTTTTTTCAAGGTAAATCGTTGAGCCCCCTCTTTGTTCTCACTTTGACTAAAGCATGCATCGTGAACATTGTCTTTTCAAGGTAAATCGTTGAGCCCCCTCTTTGTTCTCACTTTGACTAAAGCATGCATCGTGAACATTGTCACCCTACTCTTGGACAAAACAGCCTCAGAGTGTTCTCACTTTGACTAAAGCATGCATCGTGAACATTGTCACCCTACTCTTGGACAAAACAGCCTCAGAGCTGTTGGCCTAGTAGAGGAGAAAAGGCAATTTTGCCTTCAATGAATACTCACACATGGAGAGTGTTTAAATTGGTTCTCTCTTTGGGCTTTCATTTGTTTGGGCTTTGGTTAGCACGTGTGTGTACGCCCGCCACGTTTTGAAATTTTCAACTTCATTTTACATGTTTCTTTTGACACGGCAATTAGAACTTGGAAAACGTGCGTAATGACAGCGGGGGTTTTTGAGAATGTGCAAAACGATTGCGGGAATTTTGAGAACGTGCGCAACGGCTTTGAGACTCTCACCCTATAAATATAGCCCAAGGCTTTATTCGGAAAACACAACAATGAAAACAAAATTCCTCTCCTCTCTATTCTGCCTTCGAAAATTTTCTTTCATAAATTCTCTGTTACAGTTAACTTTTTATTGGGCAATCTTCTTCATCCGAGTAGAAGCTTTATACTCTCACCTGAGTACAGAAGTCGGTTGTTTTCGAAGGTTTTTACCGTTAGGTGAGAGATGATCATATGTGCTAGGGCGATAGACGGATTCTTAATCGTCTAATGCAGTGCAACAATTGCACGACTGCTACCCGATTAGGCCAGATTTTTTTTTGTTCCTTTTATTTAAGATTTATTTGCATGCTATAACTTAATTTGATTTTTCGTTAACAATCTAGAAATTTAAGTTATTATAGCTGTTAATTTTGAAATTTAAAATAATTTTAATCTGTAATTAATTGCTTTTAATTGCTGATACTTATTTCTGCTCAATTTCAATTTGTAATTAATCCGAAATTATAATCTGCTCATCTGATATAATTACTGTGAATAATTTTTCATTGTTAATTATTGTTAATTACTGCAATTATTCAATTATTGTTAATTGCTTATTTAATTACGGTTAATTTTTCTTAAATAATTACTGTAAATTATTGTTAAATATTACAGTTAACTTGCTATAGTTAATTATTTTAATTAGTAATTAATTGTTAATTTTTTATAAAAAATTATTCCGAATAAGAATAATTGTTTTTTGTTACTGTTACAAAATTAATCCGAGAATTATTTTTAGAATTATTGCTTAAATTGTTCTTGCTAATTATTGTTTTAAAATTAATTTGTTCGGTTTCATATTTACTGGTTAATATTACAAGTTCATAAATAATCTTGAATCAAGTCATATTACTAAGTAACTAGTTGAGTGGTATTGACAAAGCTTTCATTCTTATCTGATTTCAAAACACCTAGACTAGCTAACTTGAGTCAAACTTATGACAAACATTGATCATTCCAAGAGTGCCAAACCTGAGAAGTTTATCGGTGTTAACTACAAACGATAGGCTAATTAGATGAGATACTAGCTCACTACTCTAGGTTTGTTATCTGCATTTGACACTCCTGAATCTTTATCATTTGGTTCTCAACCTTTGACCTCAAACTCTCCTGATCCTGAACAACTTACTCATTCCACTTCTGCTTCTAGCGCTAGTTCTTTCTCTAGTTCGTTAAAGCTAGAAGAAATAAACTATCATTGCTGCCATAGGATCCTTAGTGTATTTGCGGACAACCTTTGTGACATATATTATGAGTTCAAAAGTGTTAAGGATCTGTGGAATGCTCTTGAAGCAGAATATGGCTTTGATGATGCCGGAATTCAACATTTCACATCCTCTTCCTTCAATAAGTTCATGATGGTTGATGACAAACCTATAAATGGACAAATTCATGAATTCCAAGATTTTATTCGTCACCTCCAATCAGGGCCGGCCCTGGGGTAAACCCACCAAGTCCCGGGGTTGGGGCAACCCAGGGCCGGGGGGCAACCCACCCCTCTCGCTCCTTCATCCATCAAACTGTAATTAATTTTGATTTTTGAAGTGGACTTTGTAAGAGGACCTTTATGCAAAAATTGTTAGGGGTTCTATTTATAAAAGAACTCTAATGAATACCCAAAACACTACCCAACTCCTTTATTTCCGTCAGCATTTCCTCTTCTCCCCGTCTCTGTTCCGCTCACAAAAAACAAAAAAAAAGAAAGAAAGAGAGAAAACCACTCCTCTCCTCCTTCCCGAGCCTTCGACGGTCCGACCTTACTCTGCTCCCATCGGACCCGTCCTTCAGACTTCACCCCGCTGACTCCTCTAACCCAATCAGGTAAATTTTTTTAACTAAATAATTTTAGGGTTTTTTTGGACAGAAATTTGGAGTTTTGATGTTTTGCAATGAAATCAAGATTTCTGATTTTGAATCTTGCCTGAATCTTTGTTGTTGAATAATTGAATTAGGGGTTGTGATGTTTTGGAATGGGTTGCTAATCGAATTTTGTTACTATCTGCTAATCGAATTTTGTTACTATCCCCATTACGGTTGCCTCGGTGGAGAGAAGTTTTTTCAAATTGAAATTGATAAAAAGTTATCTTCGCACTACCATGTATTGAATGGATTGAATGGATTGACAATGATATCAATTGAAAATGAATACTTGGAGAAACTTGAGTATGATGACTTAATTGAAGAATTCGCTTCAAAAAATTCAAGGCGAAGTATTTTTCTTTGAATTAAATTGTAGCACAAATGTAATCTCTTCTTATATGAATATTGATTTTGCATGAGAATATTATCAGTTTGAGCCCAATATAGAACGCTAAATTGTATTATATATATATATTCATTTTTATCGTTATTATTCGTACTAAATTTTTAATATAATGGGTAACCAAAATTGGATTGGGCTAGGGCAACCCAAAGCTCGGGATCGGCTCTGCCTCCAATCAATGACAAATTCATGAATTCCAAGATTTTCATCTTCAACATTGTTGGATATTGTTTGTTGGAAATTTGCAGTAAGAAGACAATGAAAGAAAAATTGACTTGTATTCCTCTCAAAATCAATTACAATTTGGATTCCGATTATAAAAGAGAGGAAAATGAATTTGATTCTCCCCTTTGTTTAAAACTGGGTTCTTCACGGTAGCGATGAGATGTCTGCCTCGAATGCTCGCGTCGAGTTTGCTTCTCGTTGACGATCCGAACGTCTTGATTCACTGGAACGTGATTTTCTCCTCACGATTTGACGCTGTGGAGAACTTGCGTGGCAAGTCTTAAAAAATAACTCTTAACGAGTTAATAACTCAGAGCGAGTTTATCTCTATGAAAGAGTTGATTTAAACCGAAAGTTCGGTTAATAAGCCAAGGATAAAGAAGCTCCTGTTGTCGACCTCTAAAGCTCCAGTCGAAGAACGAATGCTCTTCTTTGCTGCCAATCCTCAGGTCCAAAAAGCCAGCCCTTGACCGAATTTCCCTTTGTTGATGAGAGAAAAATCGGCTCAAAAGTTAGCCGAAGATCTCTTCTTTGCTCCCCCCAAAAAGAAGCCCCCGAACTCAGTTGAATTTCCCACTATTTATAGGGGATTAAGGGTGGTAACTACCCCCTTAATCCGCTCCTAAGTAGGGCGGAAATCCCTCAGAACGTGGGATAAATGGTTTTGATGCCGTTCAACTTGTGTTTGAACAATTCAAACGCCTAAATTGGCGTTCTGGACCTTAACTCTGCGTCTTAGAGATGAGACGCAGAGTTAAATCTCTGCTAGAGATTGGAAACGCACAAGCCGCACGCGTTATGTAAATTGGAGACGCACAGTTGGGACGTATAGATGAATTCTGCGTTTTGACATCTGAGACGCAGAGATGAACTCTGCGTTTTGGCATCTGAGACGTAGAGGTGAACTCTGCGTTTTGGCATCTGAGACGCAGAGGTGAACTCTGCGTTTTGGACCTGGAACGCAGAGTTGGGTTATGCATGAACTCTGTGTTTTGGACCTGGAACGCAGAGTTGGGTTCTGCATGAACTCTGCATTTCGAGTTTGGAACTCAGCTACGGCCTCTGCGTTTTGAATATGGAACACAGCCACGACCTCTGCGTTTTGAGTTTAGAATGCGGGAACGACCTCTGCGTTTTGAATCTTGGATGCAGAGGTGA